CCTACCCCTTGTGTACTGAAGAATTTGATACATTCAATACATTCATTTACTGCATGATCAAAAAGATATGACAGTTATTTTGTCATGTTCCAGTGACTATACAAACAGCAATATAAACATCACAATATTCAACTAATCCCAAGGCAATGAAAGAAAACTTGAACCTTTTCTTCAATAATTACAAATACCCATCACTGTCAACACAACTAGTCACCAATCTTTTAACTTGATCATTTGTTACTTTTAAATTATCTTAAAATGTATCATATGTATGTTAGCCAAACCTGTAGCCGCCATTAGCAGAGGAAGAACACAGCACACAGAACAACATTAGCCTCACAGCACACCGCTTTGTCAAAAATGGTGGGAATATGATGACAATCTGCGATCTCAAGGTAGAAATAAATGAAATAAGGCAAATATTGAAATAATACAATGGCACAAATCACTTGATATAGTGACCAAGTATTATTCACTGAAGAGAACAGTTCTGAACGATTCACCCGGACCCCTGCAGCTGACCACATCACCCCCGTACTAAGACAACTCCTCTGGCTTCCTGTCAAACAACGCGTCAATTTCAAAATACTCCTCACCACTTTCAAAGCACTTCACAACCTGGCCCCTCCGTACTTATCTGAGCTCCTCCACCCTGCCACTCTGCCCCCAGCTCTGGAACTCTCTCCCCCCTGACCTCCGTACCATTGACTCTCTTCCACTCTTCAAATCCAGACTTAAAATCCATCTGTTCAGACTGTCCTACCCCACCCAACACACACGCACCCACCATCCCATAATGCACTGTTTTATTCTGTTGCTCCTGTTTTTAATGGTTTTATTACAATACAATACAGTACAATGTATTCTTGTATAGCCCTAGGTCACAACAGAAGTAATCTCAGAGACTTAACAAAACCATTGAAATCACCAACACAGATCAGAGAATCAACAGTTAAGACACATAAAGAATATAAAACACATGTTGGAAAATGTCCATTATCATGCCCGTACAGTGTCCATGGGTGTTTTGAAAGGCGCTTTTAAATAAAATGTATTATTATTATTATTATTATGAATCCCATGTGGGGTCTTCTTGGGAATCCTCTTGAGAACGACTTAAGAAGCAGTTTAAGAAGATTCTTAAGATGATATTGGTGAATGAGGCCCATTGTCTCTTGCACTTATCTGTGTGGTTTAAAATGAGGGGAAGGTTAAGAGCAGGAAAGAGACCGCTGTGTATAACTCATGTTCACTTACACAGTAGCTATTGATACAATGGACCCAAGGGCCCTTTTTAAAGCCTAGACCCATTTCAACTGCCAGAGATGAAAACAACTCAAGTTCTGAAGAAACACAGGCTCAAGACGAATGGCTTGTAGTGTAACACATGAGGCCAGCATCATCCGTCTTGTTGGGGTCACTATACTTCATTTTCCTTCATTTCTCTGAAAGGGAAAAATATGATTCTCCCCATCGATTGCTGCATAAACGTGTTGCCTAGTGATGAAAGATGAGGTGTGCTTTGCTTTTATGTGATCCGATTAACCTCCGGCTGGGAGCGGCCTGTGTGCCTGCTGGGCTCTCCTGCAGTGTCAGGAGCAGGAGATGGGCACTTAGAGCGATTAGTGCTCCTCTCTGTTGTGTTTGATAGCACCAGGAAATCTTTCTAACCACTACATTATATTACCAGCCAGTCTTGCTTCTCCATATGCTGTCATACTGTAGCCAAAGAGGTGTGTGGACAAGTTAAAATTCTGCTTGGCGATTATTGACCGCAACTCGCTCCAACTTAAGGAAATTTGGAAAAAAAAACACATTTTAATTGAAGATATGTTAATCTTAGCCCCCTCTGACCGCCCACATTGGCGAAGGGCGGCCGGAGTTCACTTCCATAATAAAAACGTCAGTGCTTTATCCAAAACATAATGTGTCTTATCCAAACTGTCTTGTGATATGTATGTTACTGCTCTCTGCTGTTTATTCTACTTTTCGTCGCCATCTTTACGGCGCCGTGGCAAGAGCTCTGGTGTGTGCCGCCTCTGTCTGGTGCACACTGGGGTAGTCTTGCACAGTTTTTCCAATGTGGTTTTACTGCAAATGGCAAATAAATGAATCTGAATCTGTATTTACTGTATGCAAAACTGCAGAAAGCAAAATAAATAACGCATTATGCAAACCCAGTTACCACAACATTGATGATGAGGGAGGTCATGCAATTCTTTTTAAAGCTTCTTTGTAAGAGAATAAGTCTGTTCATTCTTGCCCTGTATTCACTGTCTGAATCCCTCCAACTATTTGTCCAAAATTATGAATATTGAATAGTGCAGAGCAAAGAGATGATTAGCTCAAAGGTGTTTCAGAACAGGCCCTGAAGAGCCCCCTTCTGTTTGTTCCATACTTACTTTATTTTGAAACATGATTTAATATGAATACTATGTCAGTCCATTATTCATATGCCCCTTAAAATAGTTTACCCTTTTCTATTGAGACAAATCAGACGGCTGCGTTAAGATTTTCAATGGTTTCATCTTTTCTCTTTTTTGTGTGTGGAGCAGACGGAGAATGATAAGGTTTTTAAACTTCTTGACTTTGCCATTGGCATTTTGTTCAACTTTGCGGTAGATGACATTTAGCTGGCCTACAACGTGCTGCTCTAGGCCAAAAGTAAAAAGTTACCTCTGATACCAAAAGACAGGGGGCTTGTTTAAACAGGTTGTAAGGTCGATAAAGCGATAGCTGTGGAGGCCATGCCCACATAGAAGAAATGGTTTAGAGAAACTGTCAGCTAATGTGATGTTTTATCAAAGAGATGCACATGTTGTAAATGTCAGCTCTCCCAACAAGGCCAACATGATCCAGAGCCATGAAGTCTTAAGAAACAAGCTACCATTGATTTTCATTGTCTCTATACAAAGTCACTTGAACATATTTTCATCAACAGTTTGTCTGTAATGGCAGCAGGTGATATTGTCAAATGTGTCTTGTGTAGGGGTGTGACGATATATCGATTTTTCGATCAATTTTTGATATATCGCGATACTTTCTACCGCGATTCGATTATCAATATGCATTTGCCAAGTATCAATATCAATTTAGAAAATTTTTTTTTTTTTTGTGAATTGGTATTAATACTTCATATATGGCTACATTACGCATCTCCATTCTATTTATTATGAATTAAAGAGTCATTTTTCTTTTTTTTATGCCATAAATTGGCATATTGTATATTTCTGACCAATATATCAATAATCGTCATATCGTGATATTATCGTTATCGTGAGCTTTGTATCGTGTATCGTATCGTATCGTGAGGTACCCTTAGGTTCCCACCCCTAGTCTTGTGTAGAGGAAAAAAAACATAATTTAAATTAAACGTTTAATACATACTTTGCTGGTTTAATTACACTGTTGATTTGTGGCATTGGTTATATACTGCTATATTTTATTATTTTTACTAATACAGAATATGAATATGTTTTTTTGTTGCTTTAAATTTGCTTCTGATTCTGCGTGTCTCATTATAAATTATTATATCACCAAGGAAGTGCTGAATGTTTCACCATTCTGTTTGGTAACCTAATCCTTCATTGTCTTATGAATGCTGAGAGACTGCTGTCATTTGAAGTCAGACCCACTCCACATGTTAAAACAGTGATGATGTTGATGAGGAGAAGATAATTATGATTTTCTTGTCAAACTTTCTCTGAGAAATTATTTTGAAAATAGTTGAAGCTGTGTCTGTCTTCGGGACATAGATGCTCCAATTCCATTCCATTTTTAGTTTTGCGTAAAGATAAACTCTGAATGTGGATCCCTTTGGCTGATTTGACGTGAAATGGAGGAACCTGAGTAAATTATCGGTCCAGACTAATGGTGGTGATTCATCCGCATGTTTGGGACATGACCTCCCGCTGCAGGTTGTGTTCTGAGAGGCTGTCAGGCTGCAGAAATCTCCCCTGAGGAGTTTACGAGCACAATCTACCACAAGGGTTAACTTATCTGTGCAAATCATTCCCTTTTTCATTTGCCGAAACAGTCCAACCGACATGATTTACAACTACAGTAGCCGCAGACATGAAATCCAAGGGCAAGTCAAAGCTGCAAATCATAAAACGGGCCTCGCCTCTCTATTTACAACCCATCTGTGTCACGGAGAGCGCCATATCCTAAATCTGAGAGGAGTCCACATTATAGCATTTTGCACCACAGTAATGAGGTGTTTAGTTTTATCTGTGTCATGGCAAAGAGAAAGTGGCACAGTGTGTCACAACTGCCCCGAGAGAGACAAGAAATTGTATCCAATGATAGCTTGATATTATATCCGCCATTGACTAAGAGCCCACTGGCCTCCTGACATATCACTCACAGATTTAGACCACAAGGATTTGACCTCGACTCAAAATCCCACGCACTGTCTATCGTCCATAAAAGGAATTTATGGTTGAGGCAATGTTTAAAATAGAGTTTTTTTTAGATTTTTTTTTTTTAAATACGATTTCGGTCTCAAGCCAGAACATTATTTCAGTAACAAACAAATAAATAATAACAACATCAACAAAATGTAAACGATTACCAACCCGAAGAGCGAACATTTAATTTAATTTAAAAGCCCTCAGAATCAGAATCATTTTATTGCCAAGTAAGTAACGAAGAGAGTAAAGACTAGATTAAAGAATAGATTAAAGAATAGAGTATGGCATAATAAAAATCAGCATACACTTTTAATGTATAAAATCATATGCACATTTAAAATTATATTAATAAAAAAAAAAATTGTTGGCAGCAAATGAAAATAGCAATCAATGAATTATACCAGTCTGAAATTGTGTGCATTTCTATAATTTGGTGCAACTGGCTTTAGGCTTTTATTATGAGAGGTTTTACTCTGTCCAGTGTTTAAAGGGCAACTCCCCTGCCCATTTGCTTTGCACTCATAGATTTCCACAAATCACTGCCACGCCACATCACGCATAGCACCAAGGGTTCGGGACAGAAAATCAATGGGCTCTCGTGGGCTGCTCCATCAACGCAAATATCCTGACTTTGATGGCGGGGAGTGGGTGGTGGCACCGGACATTTGCAAAGAGATGTGGCCTGGCCTGCTTCTCATGGGGAAATGCATCAGCGCTGGTCGGTTTACATCATCAATTTGAATGAATTGGTACAGAGTTTGTATTGCTAAACCATATTGAGAAAGTATAGAGTATGTGAAAGTGCGATGACCTGTACATTTCTGGCCCATTTGATTGAATTATTGACCTTTATATGCTCTGAATTTTGAAATGCAAATTAGTTCATTTCAAAAATAATTAGCTCCCTCATCAAGAAGGCCCAGCAGAGGATGTACTTCCTGCGGCAGCTCAGGAAAGCCAAGCTGCCTGCACAGATGTTGGTGCAGTTCTACACGGCCATCATCGAGTCCATCCTCACCTCCTCCATCACTGTGTGGTTCGCTGGAGCCACAGTCAGGGACAAACAGAGACTACAGCGCATTGTGCGCTCTGCAGAGGAAGTGATCGGCCGCAGCCTTCCATCGCTGCAGGACCTGTACGTCGCCCGAGCTCGAGGCCGGGCTGGTCGTATCACAGCCGACCCCTCTCACCCTGCACATGGACTATTCCAACCACTCCCCTCAGGCAGGAGACTGCGGTCCATCAGGACCAGAACATCCCGCCACAAGAACAGTTTCTTCCCCTCTGCTGTTGGACTCTTGAACACTTCTTAACCTGTCCCCCCGCCCTTTATAAAGTCACTTTACTGCCCATCATACGTCACTTTACTTCACTGTACTGCTGTTCACCTTACATTGTGTGCACCATGTGCACTTGTATATTGTAAATAGTAACTGTAACTCTATTTTAAATTTAAATTTATTCTTTAGAAGTGTTTTTTATTCTTATTTTTATTATCTCTTTTTGACTGTTGCACTGAGCCAAAGCAATTTCCTAGTCTGTGACCTCCTGTTACTTACGTGGCAATAAAAATGATTCTGATTCTGATTCTGATTCAGCAGTGTTTACCCTACCATTAAATAGGTACCCCCCCACCCTGTCAATCAAATGAGCCAGCTCTAAAGAAATATAGCTGACACAACTACTCGTTTACATGTTACATGCTATAAATAACCTTGGGATGAGCTACAGTATGTGGGCTTGGTGGAGCACAGGGACCAGTCTCCTTCTGGGACTCTGAGGAGCACAGGGACTATTCTCCTGCTGAAACTTTGTGGAGCACAGGACCTGGAATCCTGCCGGTGCTGGTGCCCAGGTTCAGGACTAATTGTGGATTAGCAGTGTTTCAGTTTTATGCAACAAACTCCTGGAACAGTCTTCTTGAAAATGTCAAACAGGCTTCTACTCTCTGGATTGGAACACTCTGCAGTGTTCATAACAGTTCTTTGCAGCTGTGCACACAACAAAAAGACTATCCGGATTTTAATGTCCTGGTATAATTTTAATGTTGTTTGTTTGCCTTGTGCATGAACTTTGCTATTTAAATAAACTTCCCTTGCCTCACACACGCAGCCTGTGTACAATCATCCAACAAGGACATTTGGTTGCACCTTTTGTCACTGTTGGGAGGATTTTTGCTACACCTGGTTCTATTCCAAACTTCTAAAGCACAAAGGAAGTGTGTTGTGGCGTTTGTGTTTTGGTCAGTAACAGATCAAAGTAAAATCCACAAACAAATCTGCTTTAATTGTCCAGAATGCAGCATTATTTCCTGGGGTGTGTTATAATATTACACGTGTACACACAATCAAATATTTTAAAGGTTAGGTAATTATTAAACATAATAAAACAGTAATTCACATATTTCACAACATCTATGGATGTGTGTGCACCCCTTACATCTCTGGGAAACTGCAGTTTTGTGTTTACGGACTTAAAAACTTTGCTCTTAAATATACGTAAATACAAGTTCCCTAACTTTTTATATTTTAAGAAAGCTACTCAGTGTTGCCAAAAGCTTATCTCAAAGGATATCAAAGGAACATGACTTGTGCTTGCAGTAAAAGGGATATAAACAGCTACAGCTAACTCTACACAGTTTAGATTGAATTCAGTAAAAAACAGAGCAGCAGTTCATAAATGTGATTCATGTTCATGTCTCCGGTAGAAGTGAGTTTGCAGATATGATTACTGCTTGATACAGGCAATGCATGCAAATGTTATGGTAAATGTGAAGTGCAGAGTTATTTCCTCCAATTTGCTCCTTGATTTCATGCAAAGTTCCAATTTGTATGTGGGATTTAGTACATGAATGTTACTCATACGGTGAAACTATTGAGTACTGGGAATACTTGTTTTACTTACTAGATAGATATATAGAAAGATACTTTATTGATCCCAGTAGGAGAGGTTCAGGTGTACAGTAGCAGCAAAAATACATCCATCCATACAAACAAAACAAAGATAACAAGGGTAGTAATAAAATGCAATAGCACTTCAGTCACAGCAGCAGAGGTGGTGTAGCCGCTGGGGGGTGGAGCAAGACTGGTCACAGCAGCAGAGGTGGTGTAGCCGCTGGGTGAAGCAGGACTGGTCACAGCAGCAGAGGTGGTGTAGCCGCTGGGTGGAGCAGGACTGGTCACAGCAGCAGAGGTGGTGTAGCCGCTGGGTGAAGCAGGACTGGTCACAGCAGCAGAGGTGGTGTAGCCGCTGGGTGGAGCAGGACTGGTCACAGCAGCAGAGGTGGTGTAGCCGCTGGGTGAAGCAGGACTGGTCACAGCAGCAGAGGTGGTGTAGCCGCTGGGTGGAGCAGGACTGGTCACAGCAGCAGAGGTGGTGTAGCCGCTGGGTGGAGCAGGACTGGTCACAGCAGCAGAGGTGGTGTAGCCGCTGGGTGGAGCAGGACTATTACTATTACTTTTAATGTATTACTGTTGTCTTCTTTTCCAGTGGGGGACAGCCGCCTTCTCCTGGAGGGCTTACAGAGATATGGTCCCACGCCAATCTACCTGCCTGTCACCTATCAGATCCTTCATGCAGAGTCAGCATTCTTCCTGCAGGAGGCAACCCAGGACCTAATGAGGAACTCCAGCCTGCAGGCTCGAACAGAGTCTTTCTTCATCCACAAAGCACGTCATATGCCCTATGTGAATGCCAGTTATGGGCCACTGTCTGTCCAGCACCCAATCCCTCTGGAGATGCTGAAACCGCTGCCCGGACCTTTCAACAGTCCTTTTACATCTTCATCAACAGAGCCGGTACCTGAGTCGGAGGCCCTCTTCACTTTTAACTGGAAAGTGCACACATACATCATCAATGAAAGGATCCACCCCAGCATGCCCAAAGTGCAGGTTCTATTCTATGTGGCTGGTCGGAATTGGGACGATTATAGCACTGCCACCAAACTGCCTTGTGTGCGCATGTTTGCCTTCCATGAGACGCAGGAGGTGCGGGGCACTTGTCTGCTCAAAGGGGAGCTGGGCATGTGCGTGGCTGAGCTGGAGCCCTTGGCCAGCTGGTTCAGCCCCCCCACAGTGAGACCTGGCCGTCAGAGAGTGTCGGAGCAGGCTCAGGGCACGCCTGTGGAACTTTACTATATGGTCCAAATGACTGAGAGCAGAGACTGTAGCTCTGAGGACAGCCGACGTGCCAGTGCCTCTCACACAGAGCAGCCACGACCTATGGGCTACTATGCCGGGCACACACCCATGCAGCGCATCGGCAGTGTGCGGCTGTTTCAACCTCTGTCTGAGCTCAAGTTGGACACCAATTTTGTGGTTATGTCGCCCTCCAAACCAATCCGGCAGAGAGAGACAGTCTCTACTTTTCTGGCCATGTCCACACTGTCCTCAGTGCAGATATTCACCTTAAGGTAAGTCACTCTGCTCAACACAAGACCTTTAGAGGTTATCGGAGTAGAATATTGTGTCCATTCCTTTATTTTTTTTTATGTAAATCTTCAAATGTATACACAAATCTACCTATTTGACTTACCATATTTTAAGTGATTCCAAACTAAAATATGTAATTGTAAATTCTCTTGTTCATTAAATATTTGTCAAATGCATTTTAATTAGAGCAAAGATGATAAAGAAAATTCTAATTAGCTTGATAATGCTACACCAATCTTGATGTTCTGTCTGTTTTGTTGTGGCTGTGTTGAACCGAGAATGAGAGATCATATCTGGGCCTTAGATTGTGTTCTTGTTCTGGCAAAAGGAGGGAAGAACTGGCTTTAGTGAGTTTGATAGGCTTCTGATTAAAAAGAGACAGGATAAAGGAGACAGTGAAGAGACAGGATAGTAAGGATGATTTTCAGATTTTGTGAAATAGAAATTACAGATCCCCTTACCTGCCTCCAAGTGAATATGTTGAAGAGCTTTGTCTATTTGAAACCCACCTGGAAACTGCCTTTTTATGTAATATAACACTTTTGTATTAAACTAAGCAGTAAACCTCTTTAGTATGTCAACCTCTAGCTGTTAGAGCAAACAAGATCTTTGTGCACTTATTGAAGATGGTTTAATGTGCTCACCTTGACCCCTGAAAATGTTGGAGAATAATTTATCTGTGGTTATTCCACGTAAAAGAGAAACAACATTTTCCATTGATTTATTGTTCGTTGTCACATACAAATTACCATTCGATGTCACTGTAAAGGTTTAAAGAATATGCGTTTCTACGGGACACTTTTATACCCAAAGTCTAAATCATGTCGGATGAAATGGTTAGCAGGCTCAAAGTAGAGTGCCTTGGCAATTTGTCAACCCTGGGTGTGCAGGAAATGTGCCAAAAAGCATCATTTCTTTTTCCCCTCACTCCAGTGATGATGAACTCCTATGAAATATTAGCTTCAGTGCGGAAGCACATTCAGCCTGTGCCAGTGGAGCGTGTGAAAAAGGGATTTTGAAGGTATGTTGTTTTTAGGGATGCACGATTTATCGGTGTAGATAATGATATCGGATCAATGTTTATGCTTTTTAACTTATCGGTTTCAGACCGATGAGTAAAATTGGGCCGATAACCACAACCAATGTGTGTCTCTTTTACTAAAATATATTTCTCTAACGGGTGTGGATTTTTAGGGAAATGCTGAAAAAGGAACGGATGAAATGTGTTCACATTAGCATTAAGAAGAAGGTCCTTTCTTTGTCCCACAGTGGGGAAATTTCAATGTGATGTATAAACATACACGTACAGTATACACGCAGCAAACATTACTTCCGCTCAGCCGACGTCCGGTGCAGCAGACGCCTTGGAGCGGCTTGGCAGGGGCGGTGGGTACAGTGGCTAGATGTATGCAGCGAAAGCAAGAGATCAACATCCTCGCTCCACACACATGCAGTAACCAATCAGAGAGCAGCAAAGTGGTCACAGGGACACACGCCGGTCCAAACAGGAGGATGAAGACACTTGAAAACAACCAAAATATTAACTAAACTGGGATAGGGGACACAGCGCTTGTGAACATATGTATTCTCCCTGGGTTGACCTACTGTGACTGTAAACAAGTGCTGCTAACGTGTTCGCCGATGCAGAAGTATCTTGTTAGCAACAAAGCCCCCCACCACTTTCGCCCTAAATTTTTCCCCGATGCAAGGTAAAACATGATATTGACAACATTTTTGCCGCTGATATTTAGTTAAGTGCCTCCAACACATGACCATGCATCGGCGGTAGGAACACAGCTTAACAATCCTCTGCCTTCTCAACACTGCACTAACTGTTCATACAGGATTATTGTGAGAGGTTTTAAAATGTTTCACACATTTGTGGAGTTGTGCCAAGCCTGAGGCAGATCTCGTTTTGATGAGGGGTGAATGCATGGTGACAGATAAGAATAATGCTGGAATGCTTTGTCCACGGACTGTAGTAGAGGTAGGGAAAAAATATGATTCTTAGATTAATCGCAGTTCGGCCATTGAAGAATCTGGAATTATTCACAAAAATCCAAATTCTGATATTTAAATATGCCAAGTAAAGCAGAAATTAAATACAGTAAGCGCAGCCTTCGAAACTCTGTCAGGGAACAGACCGAGAGCGTGCCTCCTCACTCCTCCAGAACAACAACCATGGCTGAGCTAACCAATCCACCAAACTACATTATTCTGCCCTTTCCCTTTTTCCCTACTTCCGAAACTGCTCAATAGGAGGTAACAGAGTGTAGTCATATTTTTAGGATAATACAGATGAAGATAAAATAGTAATCAATCATCAATTTTGGCCTGAATTAAAGATACATGTATTTGACAAACTAATGGATAAACTCATTAGACAGTAAACTAGACAGGGCGGCACGGTGGCTGAGTGGATAGCACTCTCGCCTCTCAGCAAGAAGGTCCTGGGTTCGAATCCCGGTCGGACCAGGGCCTTTCTGAGTGGAGTTTGCATGTTCTCCCCGTGTCTGCGTAGGTTTCCTCCGGGTACTCCGGTTTCCCCTACCACTAAAAACATGTCCAATAGTTCTAGCATGCGCCTCCTGTACTGGAGACCCTGCTCCCATCTCTGTGTGGAGTGAGAGACAAATGCCCATAATTAACAATTGTAAACCGCTTTGAGACTCAGATCTGCAGTGAAAAGGCGGTATATAAATAAAAACTTACTTACTTACTTACTAGACTACACATTGTTTAGTATGAATATTAACTGACTATTATGGAAGACATTGAATTAACCATTTTATCACACAAAAAATATTCAAAGAAGCTCTTTCGTACGGTAGCACCAAACTGGATCAACACATTTTTTTCCTCTGTGAGTCCTAGAATGTTTCAATAACAGAAAAAAGCAGCCATGATAACCTTTAAACAGTTAGTGCAGTGAGGACGGCCTGTTGGTATCCCTGTGAGTGGACAAGCCTTGAGAGCCCAGAGCCCGGAGCCCGGAGCCAAGACAGTGGCGCTTTATGACATTGTTTGCATACCGTCAGCTAATGTTTGCCTTTTCATGAGTGGGTGTGTTTACTGCCAGATTACTTTACAGGCAGCTTTAGCGTTGTTTCTTTCAGCAATTGAGGCATCATTAAATATTAATGCCTTCTCACGGTACCACTGCCTCTTGCTTATTATCTTTGCTCTCCTTATACAACCCGTCTGCTATCTCTATGGACAGATGTTCACAAATGCCTAAGTTCCCTAAAATAAATGTTCTCATAAAAATATGTTGCAGTAATGTATTTTACATGTTAGTAAACAGTTCATACTTGTAGTTATACTCTTGTGTGTTTAGATGGTTATTGATTAGTCACCATATTTGTTTACACTAGAGTACACATTACTTTACCTTGTACCTTTACCTATAGCCAAATTATTTTAAATTTAAAAGTATAGAGACTTACTATTCACTTATCTTGTGTTGTAATACAACACTGAAAAGTCCCCACTGTGGGACGTCTGAAGAATCTCTTAATCTAATCATTATTGACTTTTGCTAAAATAAATAATACAAACTGACTAAAACAAGTGCAGTCAAAAGTCACATAATACTGCATTAGAAAAAATACAGAAAATGCCCCTATTGAAGGAAAAATATAAAAACCTTCGTATTATAAAAATATACATTTGCAAAGTCTATCACAAAAAATAAAATACTTGGCTTCTTACATTTTTTTGAGTACTCATGAGGAAAATAGCTTAAGAATTTGGGACCTATTTTGCTCCTGGTTTATTTTGTTTATTGCCAAGATGGGCTTTGTTTACGCCCCCACCTCTGAAATGTACGATTACTCCAGCCACTGCTAGAGTTATTTAACACTCTCCATTTTCAGAGCAGTTGCTTTGTTGTCTGACACTGTCTCTCTGTGACGACTCTAGGCTCTAACAGAAACAATGTGTAACGTTGTGTGTGTGCTGAGGGTCCTTATTGTCCTTATCTCTCTCATACCCGCTTCATTCACACCAAAAACATGGTTTTCTACATCGCAATCGAACAATGCATATATATATATCCAAAGTTATGAAACATCAGGTCGTCTGACTAAAACATTACATTTACTATTTTGGTGACAAGTTACATTCAACTACATTATAGACAGACAATCTTCTGTCAGAATACTATTATTGTCAGAGTTTCATTATTTTTAGTAGGTCAAGTCTCGGCCATGGAAAACATCTGGGCAATTTGGAAAACACAGAAACTCTGTTAAAACTCACAACCTTCAGATTATTCAGAACATTTCAAAGGATTTATGAAAAATGTCTTTGTCATGTTTTGCATCTAAAGAAAAGAGTGTCTTTCACCCATTTGGGGAAATAATGTAATAGCTTAGTTCTTAATCAAGGACTAAGGTATTATAAATGTACTGTATATATATACATATTATATATATATATATATATATATATATATATATATATATATATATATATATATATATATATATATATATATTAGGTTTATAAATATATAAAAAAAAAACATTTTATATGCTATCGCTATTTCCTTTGTTTGCTCAGCAGGTTTTCACTCTGAAACAGCCACACCATCGCCACCTCAATTACTGTACACCAGCCATCTTTCCTCTTTTCTTGTAAGGTTTTGTTTAAATTGACTGCATTTGATCTAATCTACATATCATTTAATTACCCTGAATGTAATGACCTTTAATTTGCTGTGGAATACAAGAGCCCTCATAAATATGCATCAATCCTTCACTTGCACAGACGTATGCGCTCACTTTGAGAGTGCGATGTGCCAACTGTAAAGTCACGGTGTGTTTGTCATGCTAAAGGCTCCCAGTGGAATGGCTCATTTGTGCGCTCCGTGCCTCATTAGCCACTGAGCTGAGTGGTGTTACAGGTTGGAAAGCGTTCTCCAGCTTCTCCTTATTTAACATGCAAATGAAAACACCATTTTCTCCTGAACAAATTAACAGGCT